TTATATATAACGTTTTGTTCAAATATCTTATATGTTATAACGAAAAAGCCTTAAATAAAGTAAGCTAAAATAATTCTAATATAAAAGCTTATATTGTTCTAGATCATACATTAAGTTATATTTGTTGACAACATCAGAATTTTGTGCATATTTAAATTCACATAGTAGCTTTATAATATAGAAATAATTTATCTATGTCCATAAAAATCTCATTAAGATCTAATTAAATAAAAATATAAATAAAGGATGTTTAATTTTTCAAATATATTTTAATTTAGTCCAAGCTGGATCTAAAAATTAAAATATTCAATTTAAATATAAAATATATACAAATTCAAATATACAATTTGATCAATTTATCTAACTAATAAAGTAAAATGTTTAAATGAAAATATTCTTTACTTTCATTAACTTATTCCTTCAAAATACAAATAATTAAATTTAAATTTTTCTATGTTGAAAAATATGTATAAACTTATATAAGAAATCAACATTAAAATTTAAAGGATTAACTATAAACACCTTTTTAAAATTCTGTCCCGTAAACATTTTTAAATACTGAGTTTTTAATAATTATGAAGATTGATAAAGTGCAACAATATCAAAATTTAAGCAATCTCTTTATCATCTTTATGTAAATAATGTATGACTTTATGCAAAAAAATTTAAGCGTTTAATTTATTTTGTACTAAGAAGAAATTTTTCAAAGGAAAATGACTAAAACAGTTACTAATTTTATAAACAAAAAATGCTCATAAATTGATATTTTTAATTAAATTTTAAATTGAAAAGTGATTAATCAAGAAAATTTTATGCTAACAAGATACATATTAAGTTAAAATTTAATTCCATAGTTCATTAAAATTAAGCTTATATATAAAGTACAGTACAGTACTTGTATTTGCTAAATGTTAAAACGATTACTCAAATATCTTTAAAATACAGTAATAGAAAATTTTTATATGTAAATCTTTGTAAAATCATAGATTTTAAATAGAATTCTAAAAGAAATTTTTAGGCCTTTCTTCATTTTAATTTGAATTCAAAAATATTATTATTACTAAATTGCAATATAAAATATTTAAAAGAAATTATTAATTAATAAAACTCGCAGATATATTATATAAAACTAATATTTTCGTTATATTCGTAGATCTCAGTAAATACTACATTTGTTCATATAAAATTCCAGTAACTCTTCAGTTTTCTAATTTAATTCTAAATTAAATTGATATTTAAAATTTAAAATCTTCGCTGTTTTAAATTTTGAAATAATGAATTTAAAAAATATATATTTCATATAACATTATTATCAGTAAACATTGAAGATACACGTATTTTATTATTAAATGTATGGTACTGTACATAAGCGAATTCATATGAAAAATGAAGGGAGTAGATATACTAAGCTTGGTTGAATCATTTGATGAAACCATTTAGAAGAAAAATTACGGAAATCTTTTTATAATTATGCAGACCGTTTATAATACGTATGACAAATTACAAAATACGAATGTAAACTTCAAAAACATATTCAGAAAGCGTTACAAAAAGGACATCTTAATTCAGGTTGACAAGGCATAACAATATACAGTATTGCGCAAATGATGGAAACTTTGCAAGATACCAGTTGCAACATATGTAAATATGGAAAATAGCATTTACGATATTCACCTGAAAGTTATCAAAATTTAAAGAGCAATTTATAACAGAGAACAATCCCACGTCTTATAAATACTCCTTATTGTATACAATACATGTCGAATTAATACTGTTTAGTAATTATAGTCTATATAATAGCATATTTGATAAATTCAAATATGAGCATTTTGGTGTTCTTTTAAAGGAAAAAAAGGATTAATCTAAGCAAACAATGATACTATTGTGTTACGAAATAATGTAATTTCGCTTTACATTATATAATAGTTCAGACAGTTTCAATCGTCGATCAGATGCAGAGACGTTATAACTCTAAATAAGTGCAATTATTTAATAATAAAACGTGACTTTAAAATACTTCAAATCTGTTTAGTTTTTAAGTTAATATACAATATATTTTAACGTTTTATTTTATTGCACGAATTAATTATAATACTTGATTAAATACGTAATTAAAGCAGGATAAAAGAAAAGAAAATTAATCTTATATATGTATAAACAAGGAAAAAAGCGATTATTTTTATTAAAAATTATATATTGAATAATTTAATTATATGATTTTTTTAAACTTCAACTTCAAAATAATTTGTTTAGTTAAAGATATGATCAATTAATTCACAATTAACTTTTGCATTTATTAAATTAGCTGTAATTTAACTGTTAGACATATAATTATAATTGATTAAATTAGTAAACAACAACGCATATATACACACGTGCAAGTGTTGTATACAATAATATACATACTAAAATAAGTTTTTAATGCTGTTTCTTATTATTGTCAAGCGTAAAATTGTGACATTTCGAATTTGAAAATAAAATAAAAATAATAATAGAGCTAATAATTAAATATAAGTTTTAAAAAAGACCAATATTTACCTTAAATTTGTACTCAAAAGATATTCGATGAATAACCACAACAGCATTTCCAACTTCTGTAATAAAAAAAAAAAAAAAAAAAAATTGTTGAAATAGCGAGATGATGAATCTTAACTTTCACTCAAAGTTCTTTGATCAACCTTTAGAAGTTTTATTAAATGTTAATAATTGATA